GAAACACCAGTATAAGTAGACCTTCGCAAACATTGAAGCTTACTTTTTAAATTGCATTAACGTCGAATCTGGCCTTCACATGACTTATGCCTCACCATTAACCGAAAGGAAGTGTGCTCTTGGGAGAAAGGGGATGAAAGTCAATGAAATCAAGAAAGAATACATGTGTGTGAATGAGAGAGAAAGTGTAAATGTGAAGCTGCAAGGAGCAGAGATCGTGAAGGTGGATGAGTTTAAATATCTGGAGTCAACCATCCAAAGCGATGGACAGGGCACAAGTGAGGTGAGGAAGAGAGTATGGGGGAAGTAGATAGAGACAAGTGTCAAGAGGATAGCAGCAAAAGTAAAAGAAGATTTGCGAGGTGCTGCTATGATTTATGGTTTGTTCAGTTTGCCTCTGACCCAAAAAAAAGACAGATGACAGAGTTGAAGATGTTCAGATTTTCACTGGGATTGAGCAGAATGGACAAGTGTTTCAGAGGGACAGCGCAGGTTGAGGAATTTAGTAGTAAAGTTTGAAGGGCTAGAGTTTGAGATGTGTAGAGATGGGATAGAGGATATATTAGACAAAGGATGCTGAATATGGAGGTGCCAGGCAGGAGGAAAACCACAAAGATGATTCGCTGCTGCCAGAATGATTGCTAGAGCATCTGATGGCAGGAAAAGTTTCTGAAAAGTCATATATTTACAAGCTTTTAATTCTAACTCGAAGGGCTTGAATCTGGGTGAAGGTGCGATTAACTGCTGTTAAGGTCAAAACTGGGTTGTGGGATTTTTCATGTCACTTCAAAAGTCATTAGAAAAATGGCCTGAGAACTGATTCAAGCCCAAGCCATGTGACTTGAGTCTTAAGTGGAGATGCGTGATACAAGGCATGTTACAGAGAAGCTGAAGAAGGAGCACAAAGGCTGCTGTGTTTTGGCCATGCAGTCTAAACGTATTGAAGCTTGTGTGTGGGCAGCATACCTATGACATATTTCACACACTCTGGGACCCTTACTTTAAAATCATTGTCTTATATAGATCCTGTGCTTGGAGAAAAGCTTGGAAGAGATGCTGACAAGAGTGGATGAGTTTGTTGGAATGCTGGATATGGTAAGCTCAGTCAGAATATAAAAGTGTGTCTTACATCTCATGTTTACGCGGATAATTTGCTTCTGATATTCTGTCTTGTTTTGTCTACAGATCCGTAACGATACCTCGCAGATAGTGAATGAAAACCTACCTCAAATCCAGCAGAAGTCTGATGAAATGAGACAGATATACAGAAGAATTGATAAGCTGGAGGTAAAGCGACTGTTTCATACGGTTCATTTTGTTTTGTATAAAATATTCATTTGCCGCTTTTATAATGCACACGGATTCCTCAGAGAGGCATCCTGCCAAACTGCAAGCGGCATTAACAACTCTAATATGAAATGCGTGATTGTGAGTTGATGTGTATTGATTTGTGTGCAGTGTTTTTATTCATAATTAAATACGGAAAGTATCATCCTCACAAATGGAGACCCTGAGCCACTTGTTTGTTTTTCTATTTCCTCTATTTATTCATTCGTGTACCGAAAAGGTAGAAGTATTAGTTCCTGTTCCTCATGTAAAAGCTTACCATGCATTCAAATGTCTGGTAATCTACCAGCAAAGGGGACCTTATTTGCAAAAACTATGTTTATTTGAGTTCATACTCACGATTTCTTCAGCTGAATGCCATTAAATGTCTTCATCAGGTAACTTGTGATGAGACAAAAATAAAATTTACTTCATGATAAACAGTCATGTGAAATTTTTCAGAGGAACTTATGCAGTTCTGTGAAAAACTAGGTGCATCCCATAATTCAGCAACTTGTAGAACCACCTTTAGCAGAAATAACTTGAAGTAATAATTTTCTGTATGACTTTATCAGTTTGCAGCCATTCATTTATGCACAGCTCTCTAAGGTCCCGTCACAGCATTTCAATCGGTTTGATGTCTAGACTTTGTTTGGGCCATTGCAGCACCTTAATTCTTTTCTTTTTCAGCCTTTCTGTTGTAGATTTGCTGCTGTGCTTGGGATCATTGATCATTGTTGCATGACCCAGTTTCAGCCAAGCTTTAGCTGTCAAACAGGTGGCCTCACATTTGATTCTAGAGTACTTTCGAACATCCAACTTTGCAAACCTAAGGTGAACTTTCAGGGACGTCCACTCCTGAGAAGGTTGTGTTGACTCGCACTTCGGTGTTACAGTCCAGCAAACTGCCAAACTGCTTTTACAGAGGTGCTCACACTTGCTGATGATCAGTTAATCAAGTGCATTTTATCACCTGACAGCTACTTGGGCTCATAATTCCTATTGAAGCGATAACGGTGTTCTTATGCTCATTGTTCAGCCCTTATCTCAGGTGGTGCACGCCAAGTTTAAGTTTGTACGTTTTTCATAGAAGTGGATAGAATGCTGTGTAAACTTCCTTTTTTACATGACTGTATATTAACTGCATAAACCTTTTTATATTAAAAAATTATCTATCACAATCTATAGTTAAAATTAAAGACACATTTGTTTTTGTTTTTCATTGCAAAATATGATTAATATTTCCTGATTTGTAATAAAGAGTCAGACTGGACTACAATTATTTGTGGAGCCAAGGTTGGCATCTGCATGTCTGCTTCATAACGTAACAGTCCATCATTGGTGTAACAGCACAGTCATTTTTGACTGGGGACAAAGCGTTGCTGTGTCAGCTGTCTTTTCTGTCTGCCAACCACAGGTAAATTGAATATTGTAACTTTTGTAGTGAATCTTAAATATGCTGTTGTGTCTGCAGGCCTTTGTAAAGATGGTGGGAGCCAATGTCAGCGCAATGGAGGAGCAGGTCACACAGGCAGAGGGAGAGCTAGGTACACTACCGGGTGCTTTCAAGAAGATCCTCCGCACAATGACTGTCCCAGGCTTCTTAAACGTAAGAGCCAATTTCTGCACTTGTGAATTATAAATTTTCTCCACTATCCACTGAGTTTGGTGTTTGCAGGATTAAACAAAAACTTATTATTTAGAAGGTTCCCAAACTAGTTCAGCTGTGGGCTGCCCACTCTTACTGTAGCAATGTACTGTAATAATCGGTTGCAGTCCAGAGCTTTTGCTGCTACTTGTAACAACCAGCACTTTTCACAATGTTTAAATTAATATCATACTTTATTTGGTTGTACTTTTCCACTGGAATGAAGCAAAGGGAGTGAGGTTTGTCTTCATAGCTTTTCTGTTACAAAGAAGAAGGAGGAGTCGAAAAATGCTTATGGATTAAAAAAAAAAAAAAAATCTCCCAAAAGACCCATAGCTGTGCATCAAATGCATCTATCCTGAGATGCATTTGATGCATTTAGCCAGGATCCCAAATGCTGCTGATGGCTAAAACCACATGCCCTGCCCACTTTCTCCACATTGGGTCTAAATGGGATAGAATGAAATAGATTTGGGGAAATATTAGGTGCTCTCCTTTTAGACAGTGAAATATCTGCTGAGCCATTTATTGCCTCTGAAAAAGAAAAAAATTGACTGCCTCCACCACGATCATGGAGGAAACTGGCGATCTGCCGTTAGTGACCTCAGTTGCATCCACACAGAATTTGATTTGCTCAACGTTTGTTGTTTGTCCAGAGATTGGGATCAAGGCCACCCAGGTCATTTGTAGTCACTATCCAGACTTCATTGAGATCATTATGAGTAAAGGTTCAGATTTCATAAAAACAAAAACACCCACAGTGTTTTTATTTATATGTCTGATTAAGATTGATGGTGTTCAAGAAACAGCATCATGCCTGCGGAGTTAGTGTTCTTTTTAAAGTTTCCCCCAGCAGTTGTAACCACACTTCATTTATTAGGTTTTTAACTTTTGTCTCTTTGCTTTCAGAAACCAGCCAGCCCAAGACGACCAGCACCACATCAGCGTCAAGAAATCCCCAGCGTGTTTCGGACAGATGATTATTTCACGTCACAGCCGGAACAGTGACGCATTTGAACGTTCAAAACATAACTCGGTTCTAACCTCAGAGGCCTGTTGGGCCAAACTGCACAGATGACTTTTACTGCCACCTATTGCAAGGAGGATCTATTGGTGCAGTGGCTTCAACAAAGCAATAGCAGCCTTTCTGAACAAGTCACTGGAAGTCAAGTGGGTGCAGACAATCTGTGCTCCTGAAAGTCCTTTCCCTGGCAGCAACAAACACTGAACTGTAGCAAAATTATTTTAAAAGTGCCTGAATGGGTCTTTGGTTTTGTTTTCACTAATGGTGAAGAAAATGTAAGATGTTAAATTTGTGGCAAGTCAGGAGGACAAAGTCGTCCCACTCGCCTGTAGAGCACTGTATAGAAGGTACAATAAGATCTTCAAATAATACACAGAGAAATAACCCAGCTTTGTTTTTATGACTTACATTCCTGTTGATAGTGTTTGTAAAGACCTGCACGCTGTTATGAACTGAGCTGTATTTCTTTGTCTCTTCTACACCCCCACCCGCCGAGCAATACTGATCTTATCCTGTTAAGCATTTAACGTCTTCCATTTCAAAGTATTCACTTTATTTCGAGCCTTATCTTACTGCCTCTCTCTGACACGAGGCTACGTCTTTGATTGCACCTTTTAGGAAAAAAAGCACATTATAGATTAGTTGTCACTTGCTGATTATGTTTTGTGCCAGTGATGAAGCTGCAGTCTAAATAGGAAGAAGAGGAACTTTGGACCTCATCATGGAGAGGGGAGCAACAGTACCTAACAGATTAATGCAGTGCGGCCCCTTTCTTGCAAAGTTTAGCCAATAATGGTCACAGCTTCAGCTCTGGTTCTTTGATTACTTGCCAAATTAGATATTAAAAATGTTTAATTTTACATGTATGTATTTGGTTTACGATTTTGAGATAATCATTAAAAAATATTTGAGACAAGCTCGTTTCTGTTTCATGTATGCGATCCTGAGTTTTAGTGTTTTAGAGGGTGGGACTCGGTGAGCAGGAAAAGCTCCTGACGGAGAACTGCGAGGCTCTCTCATTGGGCGGCTTGTGCTGACGTCACGCGTTAGTCACAAGTCGGAGGAAGCGGGAACTCCGGTCGCCTCGTTTTGACTCGTTTCCCCACGCCGAAACGTCTGCTGCTGGAGAAAAAAAAGCAAGCAAAAATAGCGGACAAGGTAAAGTACTTTTTGAGTCAAGTGTCTAATGAAGATGACGGGTTACTGAGGCCTTTGTTGACACGAGTTTAATGAGGTTAATGTGGAGACAAAGGTTTTAAAAACAGTTCTCGGTAAAGGCAGCAGAGGCTAGCCAAAACTTTGAGACCGCAGCTTGGGTTTCTGGTTAACAAACGGCAGGATTGCGACAGCTCCGATTTATATTCTGCTTAATCCCGACTGCGTTAACTAATCTCAACTAGTCTGAAAATACCTGGACAGCAACTTGGTTAACTCCCAATAGACTTGAATCTGCTTCTCTTGCTATAGTCGCTGCAGCTGGTTGAAACTTTAGCACGAAGAAACCACACCACTTAAAGAAGCAGGCCTCATTTTCCCCCCAGCTGTGCAGTCACATCTGTATCCTTCAGCACGAGAGGCAACCCATTGTTTTTCCATTTAAAATATGAGTGGGGCTCTTTTCTTTTTTCTTTTTTGTAAAAGCATGCCTCTTTTAAGCTGTCCTTCTGATGTACTCATCTGTAATCCTGCTCACTCCCACTGAAAATCTTAACATCTTCCGCTCAGACTCCTGTCTTTCTGTCAGCAGGTCTCACTATCATCTTGTAAACCTTCCCTTTCACTTTTTCTTCTATGTTTATGTCACAAGTCACCCCTGACACTCATCTACATCCTGCCTGCAGTCCTTCGCAGTGGTTGAAAATAAAGTTTATTTAAGATGATAATATTTTCTTTCTTTTTTTTTTTAAATCTCCAAAGTCGGGAAGTTGCTTTGTTACAGCAGCTTAAACTTAGGTTAAACACAACACACGTAACAAAATGGCATAAGAAATTGTGTGTAAATCAATAAAATATGAGTCCTATTCTGGAAATGTTGGGACACTGTGTAAAATGTGAACACAAACAAAATGCAAACAGTGATTTCCAAACCGCATAAGGCTGTATTTTATTCACAATTGCAATTTTATGTACCCTTTTCTTAACAATGGCACTTTTTTTCTGAGTTTAAACATTAAATATGTTTTATTGTGTTCCTTTTATGTATAGGGTTTTTGCGATTGAGGTTGTAAAATACAGTGACAAACATCTGAAATGATCCTGTCTGTAATAATATAAATACATTAAATGCAGGGTTAAATTAGACAGTACCTTTGTTGGCAATTTCAAAAGGCTGTCCATTAAGATAGTCATTTAACTGGCCCTTCATTTTTACATACATATTTTGTTTAAGTCACATTAGACACCAGAAAAGTCTTATTTAAGTGTAAATAATAAACACAAGTTTCTTCTCATTTCTTGACTTATTTTACTTAGCTTGTCTTCTTTTACAGATCCAAAGCTGCAAACATGGCCTGTGAGAAAGAAATTTGGCAAAAGATTGGAGAGGGCTTTGTCCAGGAGTATTACAACCAGTTTGACAATACCAATAGGATGGGACTGGGTAACCTTTATGTAAGCTTTCCAGATGTCTATTCAGTTCCATCACGCTGGATGTTAAAAATATTTTGAGCCTATAGTTATGAAAGAAAAAATGTTTCTGCAGTCTCCTGATGCCTGTCTGACGTGGGAAGGATCACCTTTTCAGGGGAGAGAAGCTATAACTGGCAAACTAGTAGTAAGTATCTTGTTTTAGCAGGTTGTTGGTCCGGCATGCACAAAGAAACTCCATAAGTGCTGCTTCTAATCCAGGTTATGTTGTGTCTGTGAATTTATTAATAATATTTTTACGCCTCTCCTTTCATCAGCACATCAGTCTAAACAATAATATTGTTCACAATTCACAGAACTTGCCTTTCAAGCGCATTAAGCACATCATCACAGAACAGGACTTCCAGCCCACAGTAGACAGCTGTATCCTCATCATGGTGTTTGGACAGCTACAGGTATTCTATGATTCTTCACATTTTATTTTATGTTTTTTATTCATCTGGCTGAAGGACTGATGAGCTTACACCAAGGCATCTGCAGTAAAATCACTTCTCCGACTACAGTTTTGGTCAGAATTTATTCAAATGTACACAAAATGTTCTCACTAATGGGTCTTTTTACCCAATTTGTGCTCAGTCAGAAAAGATGAGGAGGAACAAATATCAGTGGCATTGTGTATATCATGTGACCTTGTTCACCCCAAAAAGCAAACAAAAAAAATTACAATTTACATTTTATTCTAAAATCATCATTCAGACCTGCAGGTGTCATTGTTTTGAGTGTTGGGATCCAAAACTACTCTCTCTGAGAAAGCAGCTTTTGTAGATTGCCCCCTTGTGGTTGGAAGAGTTACATTTTTAAATCCAGTGAAATGCAGGGTGGCAGGGAAGTTTTATGTTTATTTTCATGACAGTCTGGCTGTGGCAGGCTGCACTTTCCCAGTACAAATGACTGTTTCACTTTCTGAAGAGCATGTAGATAAATGATGTGTTGCAGTTCATTAAGTGTTTGATAGAGAACTTCTTACCAGTGTGTGTGGGTCTGCTGTTTTTACTCTGTATGTTAACTCTGAACAACATGTATGGCTTCTACATTACAATACAATGCGCTTTATTATCATTACTGCAGCGTTTTTAGAGTCCTAATGAGTTATGCTGATGTGATTTAAGTTTATATTCCTGCCAACATTACAGTTTTAGTTTTTCACGATTTTGCTGTTAATTATTTCCAACAGGTAGATGATGATCCACCGATGGCCTTCCATCAAGTGTTTATGCTGAAATCCCAAAACTGTGCGTGGGCATGCACGAATGATGTGTTTCGACTGGGGATACACAACATACCAGTGTAGTGATTTGGATTAGTAGGTTCACATTCACTTGTATCCAGTTCTGAATTCACACTGCGGTGTCATGCTGCCACTTCTAGAAAGATATTCCACATTTTTTTGGTGTTTACAATGCATGTATTAATAACATTTCTATTCAAATAAAGAATTTATTACTCTAAACTACAGTTTTGTCTTGCCTTCCTGTAACAAATAGCTTTTTTTAGTTTAATCTGTTTACTCATAGGTGTTGCTTGATGTCTGATAGTGCAAGTGAGATGAGTAGGTAAAAATCACGGTATTAGTCATTTTCGGAAGTTTTATCGTGCTACCCGTACCACGTGTTGTTTTAAAGGTGAACTTCTTAGTATTTCCGCTAGGGGCGCTATACCCCGTATGTGGGGATTTAAAGTGTCAAATCAACAGAGCTACAACTACGTCCGCAGGGTTATGGCACCGAGTACAAGCTAGCTAAATAAAAAACCCAAATCCAGTCCTCAGAATGACTCCGACGGTGAAAAAGTCATCTTCTCAGGTACTGGAGCTCATTACTATCGGCCTGAAGCACAGCTAGCTTAAACGTTTATTGTTACTGTGTGTATCGAGGACGACGGTTGTGTAACTGTAGGTTTGTAGCTGTGTAGTAACCTTACCCTTTATTGAAACATGGGGAGCTAAAGCCTTTGTAGCTTCGGAAAAGCATATTTTTAGCTAAATGTGACAAATAATAGGGTTTACGGCAAGTTTTAGCTGTGAAAGTGCTTTCCTGCTCGTGTTAGCTGTCAGTCACGGTGTTTGAGGTTAAGGAAATAACGACTAAAAATAAATAAATCAACTAAAGCGTTTAAAATGTGTATGGAAGGCGACCAAAAATATCTTGCTTTATTCATTTATGTTTTTCAAGTGGACACGTTAATGTTATGTCCTTTGTTTTGTAAAGAGTTAACGCGCAAGCGCAGTGCTCCGTATTGTAAGTAAAGGGACAATCTGTAAAACGAGTTGTGTGGAGCCTCTCGCTCCACACTCCTAGTCGCTGTTTCTCTCAAACAGCGACTAGGAGTCAAAAATGCAACAAAAACGAGACAGACACCAAACTAAATGTAAAGGATTGTTTGCAGAACGGCTTCAGAGAAGATGATACAGCCTGCCAGAATGGCTTGGAGACGGAGGAAGAACCTCTGCTCCGAGAGAACCCCAGGCGGTTTGTCATTTTTCCCATCCAGTACCGAGACATCTGGAAGATGTACAAACAGGCCCAGGCCTCTTTCTGGACCGTGGAGGAGGTGGGTACTGTACTTTGAGTGGTTTACTGAGTGATCTTAGGAAGAAAATATTGAATGCAACAATGTCTAACCATCAGGTTTTGACAGTTGCTGCTGCTGCTACTTTCCACTGTGCACATATTGATATCCACACATGAAATGAAGGAACTGAAACAGGTGTGCTTTTGATGGTTTTTTTTTTTTAGGTCGATCTATCCAAAGACTTGGCACACTGGGACCGTTTGAAGGCAGAGGAAAAACACTTCATCTCCCACATCTTAGCCTTCTTTGCTGCCAGCGACGGTATCGTCAATGAGAACCTGGTGAGACTAGTTTGCAGGCCTCTAAAGAAATTTCAAGAATATATATTTTGCATGTAGATTGAGAACAAGCTCATTTGATGCATTGGCAGCTGAACTGCAAAATTAATGAAACTGATATTACTAGAAGCCCTCAAAAATGAAGTCACACATCAAGAATGGCTATCAAAAGATAACCATACTTGATGCGTTAACATAAATGCAGATGGCACTCTAAATTTTTTTTTTTTTACTTGGTGTGGTTCAAGTGTTTTGTGGGACTTGCACGCTTCATCGCAAATGTTTTTAATCTACACAACAGGTGCAGAGGTTCAGCCAGGAGGTACAGGTCCCTGAAGCGCGATCCTTCTACAGCTTTCAGATCCTCATAGAGACTGTCCACTCAGAGATGTACAGTATGCTCATCAACACTTACATTAGGGACCTGAAGGAGAGGTCAGTTACTCGTGGTGGCTCTATTTTATTTATTTTTTATTTTAGCAAGTCGGAAAACAGTTTTTGTGTCGTGTTTATGTTGTAATGAAAGTATAAATCCTTTACCGGCTTCTGTATGAGTTGCTTTTGTAAACTTTCTGGAGATTTACAACAAACTGTAGCACCTGGGGTTTAAACACAGTAGACCTAAAATTTAAACGCAGAGTGTGTTGTTTATCGAACAAAAAGAGGAAGTTGAGGAAGTTAATACACAGCCTGTCAGATTTTATTCAGCAAAGTCCAGCAAATCATCATTTACCCAGCTTTATTTTTTCATAATGGATGATAAAACTTGAATCCTATCACATTCTGCTTATAAATATTATTCATGTAGCACCATGAAGACATGCATTAAAGATGCCTTGTAATTAATCTTTGATTGTAAAGTCAGTCTCACCTAGTAAGAATGTTTTACATCTGTTTTAAAAAGTCTTGTTTGGCAGCATTTATTTATTATATTTCAAGACATGTAAGCAGTTCAACAGGAAATGCTTCCAGAATATATTCAGACTGCAGCCTTGTCTCACTGATCTCACTAGTTTGTCAGACAGCTGTGTCAGGCCCAGCAGGAGGGAAAGGGTCAGAGAAAGGCAACTACCTAGTGACTGATCCACTGTTTAAGTTACCTTTATTAGGTGTTCAGAGTTTTCACTGAGCCTGGTTTCTGGAACAGACTCCTGCACCTGTTTGTCACAGGTTAAGTCGAGACCGTTCTGCGGTAACTGCCGTTGTTTTCCCAGCTGCAGCAACTTTGATGTGCCTTCAAACAACAAACGTCACTCATCAACAGACTGTTTACAGATGCTTTTAAGTCTAAACACTCAGCAAACTCCATGAGTCTTGTTGCATTATTTTTACCCTGTTCCTGAGTGTCTTTGATTAAAGACAAACAAAATAAACTATTCCCTACATATTGTTACTACAGTATAATTACACATTAAAAAGTCTTTAGTTCATGTGTTTTCATGTTTGTGTGTTTTAGGGACTATTTGTTTAATGCCATTCAGACCATGCCTTGTGTGAAACGGAAGGCAGACTGGGCCCTCCAGTGGATAAACGACAGCAAATCCACATTTGGTAAGGGAGAAACAAAACTTGACAAAAACACGACAACTGAAAACTAAATATAACATCAAACTGTCCTAGAAGGAACCTCGTGTTTGATCACTTAACAGTCATTTTTGACGTTTGTGCCCCAGGGGAGCGGATTGTGGCTTTTGCAGCTGTGGAAGGCATCTTCTTCTCTGGTTCATTTGCTGCTATCTACTGGCTGAAGAAGAGGGGGCTAATGCCTGGCCTTAGCTACTCCAACGAGCTCATTAGCAGGGATGAGGTGAGACTAATTCACGCACAAAAATATGTGTTCTGATGTGTTGAAAGTATCCCTGAGTTGTGAGCGAATCAGACATACTTGTGGGTAAGAGAAGCAGCTCATATTTAAAATGGAGGTGTGGCATCTATGTAATTATTCCTTTCCAAATGACAGCGTGGCACAGAGTGTTTTCCATCTAGATTTGTCTGTTGTCAGTCTTATGTGACTAAATGAGTAGATGCACATAATGACCATAAGTTTGAACTGCTGTGGAAAACCTTCAGAAATAGAAACAGTATGTCTGCCCTTACCTGCATTGTCATGCTTATAACTGGTATGACTCCTTAACTTTGTGCAGCAGCCTCAGCGGCCAAATTCATAAGAGCTGTATAATTCATATATGCTGTAAAGACAACATTGGTCTTTAAAAATAAGTCAAATGATAAAAATAAACATGAAAGATTAAACAGCAATCATAAACACCAATATACTGTCAAAGCTGGCAGCAGAGTCATGACTGCACATTCACCTCGCTCTTTGGAAAATGCCCTCAGACAGATATTTCCCTGTTATAGCAAACACTGTACAACAGCAGCTCTGCACTGGCTGTTTTGAGAGTCAGATTTTCATAATATCTTATTGTTATAAAAAAAAATCAAGAGCCTCATACCAACTAACTAGTTAATATAACAAGTTTTTGGTCATTTATGCTGACTGTATGGTGGCAGACTCTGAAAACACTGCTTTTACATCTTGCTGACACCCGGTTTTCTTTCACTCAGCACTCACTGTGTTGAAACTAATCATCACCCTATTAATTAACAATTACAAAATAGTAGTTGTTGGACATGCAGTTCTCTTACAATTCACCAGGGGGTGCTGTATCAACCATGACCATCATTGTTCTTCCTTGAGATCAAGCTGATGTAATAAATGCTGTTGTGTAAACACAAGTCTCCTAAAATAAACCTGGGACTAAGTACACCATAAATACACATTTTTTCGGATCAGCTGTTCTGACATGTTTTTTTGTTCTTTGCTAGGGTCTGCATTGTAACTTTGCCTGCCTGCTGTACAGCTACCTGGTGAAAAAGCCATCAGAGGAGAGAGTCAGAGACATCATCACCAAAGCTGTTAGCATCGAACAGGTCAACTAATGTTACACATTACATACATTATATGCTTGCTTATTAAATGCTATTCACCTCATATTCCTGTTCATTTTGTCTGCACTAACTCACATTGCAGTGGATCAGTTGTAGCTTTACAGCAGGGGTGGGGGAACTCCAGGCCTCAAGGGCCGGTGTCCTGTAGGTTTTAAATGTGTCCAACACAGCTGATTTAAATGGCTAAATTACCTTCTTAGCATGTCTTGCAGTTCTCAGGAGGCCTGGTAATGAGCTAATCATTTGATTCAGGTGTGTTGATCCAGGGTGATATCTAAAACCTGCAGGACACCGGCCCTTGAGGCCTGGAGTTTCCCACCGCTGCTTTACAGCATGACATTCTGAAGCAATAAAATCTTAATAGGTCGTACCAGTGCTATAAGTCACTAATCGTTATTATTCATATGCAGGAGTTTCTCACAGAGGCCCTGCCAGTAGATCTCATAGGAATCAACAGTTGCCTCATGAAACAGTACATCGAGTTTGTGGCTGACCGGCTTCTCACTGATCTCGGACTGACCAAGGTAATGCTAATAATCATTCGTTCAAAACCCTCTGCACACCAGAATGGGTGAAATTAAACCTATTTTTGTCTTTTTTCCTCATTTTTTTTTAATCCAAGGTTTACCAAGCTGAAAATCCATTTGAC